ACATTTTAGCAGTTCTGAAAAATTTAAAAATATTTCATAATGTGAATTAACAGAACTTATATTTTTATGGCAGTTATTTTTGGGAACTAATTAGGGGTGCATAAAATGATTGATGATTGATAAAAGACAAGTATATGTTATTTTCAAAATCACGTTGTATTTAAGTATGATTATCATATTTAATCTGGTAGATACTAGGTAAAAATTGCAAAGTTCTTGTGAAATTACGATGGTATATGTCACAAAACGACATAGTTTATTTTGATGACAATATGATGTATTCCTTTTAATATTTCAATTAATCTTCAATTAAGTAAATATATATTTTTTATTTTGTATTTCAAAATATAAATATTTCATGTTACTTGAAATATAAAACATACATATATACTAAATGTATAAAATATATTTCAAATAATACAGTCTCATGATAGAAAAAAGGAATAAAACTATATTATATTCCAAAATATAATGATTATAGAAAATATTTAATATACTTAAAAGAATATAGTTAATATTATAGAATGGCTTTGATTTTATAATATAATTCAATTATAACAAACTCTCTTACTACAAAATTAATTATTCTATACCACAGCAAACTTTTAAAAGTGTGAAAAGTAACTTTACATTATCCAGAATAGCATTTAATAGCAAAGAGTGGAAATACACCATATAGGAAGGTAATTAATTTTGAAAATCAGGAATTATGGCAGAATTATGTCCCGTATAGTAGGAAAATGTCTTGGAGAACGTGCAGCCAGAGTGTTTTGTAGGCAAAGGGTGATAAAGCTTTGCTTCATATACTTTGGGCATGTTGCTAGGATATTCCTTGGAGAGTGACCTGATTCTCAGAAAGGCAGAGAGGTCATGTGGGAGAGGAAGAACCTCAACCACGTGGACTGTTAAAGTGACTGTAGCAGTAGTTTCCAGTGTGTAAGAAAGTATGAGGATGGCAGAGGAAAGGGCAGGATTCAGATCTGTTGTTCATAGGGTCTCTATGGATTGTACTCAACCACCCCTAATAGCAACCACATGTCTCATGGATTATGGTGGGAATGTGGTTTCCTGGAAGTATTGCAATAATTTAAATGGTGACATAAAACAAAATTGATTAGGCAATTGTATCATATGTTGTTATTAAATGGAGTTAACTTGATACTAATGCAAAGCAACCATATGACCAACTGAAAAAAAATATTGACTCATCTTACGCATATTCACAATCTTATTTGTTTGGACTAATTATGTCAACCCATTCATGAGTGTATTCATCATTTTTGCTGAGTTTCTACTTTTTCAAGCATGATGTCCTTCTTCAGGGCCTGGTCTCCACTGGTAACATGTCCAAAGTACTTGAGACAAAGTCTTGCTATCTACACTTCTAAAGAGCATTTTCATTGTACTTTTCTCAGGAAAAATTTGCTTGTTCCACTCTCAATATTATTTGCCAAAACCATAATTCAAATACATCCATTTTTCAGTTTTCTCTGTCTTTGTGCATTCTTTTGCATAAGATTGAAAGTAGTATTGCTTGGGCAAGGAGCACCTTAGTCCTCTAAGTAACATTTTTGTTTTGACCATTTTAAATAAATCTTTTGAGGTAAATTTGTCCAATGTATTGTCTTTGGAGGTCTAAAGTTCTATTATTTTCATTTCTGATTTAGTGTTCTTATTGATTAGGTTGATATCTTTTTGGGCCCATGACCTCTAATGATACGCTTTACGAGATAAAATGGCATGGGGGTGTGGCAATGGCTGCGTGTGAGCCTGACACTCTAGTATCATCCATTTTCAGGGCTAGTTGATTTTGGAGGTGAATTGTTTCATATGTTGTTTAACCACATTGATTTTAAGCATAAAATTCCTTAACAGGTTTTAACAGTTAATTTATATGACAATTTACTTTTAGAGTAATTGTCAATAATTTCCAAGTAATTCCTCTCAGCTTCACTTTCAAATCATATTAATGGAATTAGGATAAAATGAGCTGATTCTATAATGATTGTATCTTATACATACAAATATTTTAAGTATTCTATTTCTTTACATATGCATGAGTGCTTCTAAATAAGAAAGTCGGCACAGGAAATATTCTGACCAGTGAAACTGAATTAAGTGTATTAACTCTCATCTTCAGGAGAAAAGAGAAGGAAAATAAATCATTCTATCTTCAGATTGATTGATTAACTATAGAAAAAAGAGCACAGAAGCTGTAAACCCAAGGGGTTTCTGCTGCTCTCCACCTGACTGCATTCACAGGCAGTAAAATGATACTGACAGTGTGAAAGCCTCAAAGAATACTAAGAGAACAGAAGTCAGAGGCACTTAAGGAGGAAATCACAGATTGGCCTTGCTGACAGCTGTACCCATGACAGGCTTACTATAGCAGAAATCATTTATCAAGTATGAAGAATAGTTACATTGAGGTCACATGGAAACTCAAATCTGATACCAAAAATATATCCAGGAGTTGACTAGGAGGTGAACGATGCATTACTACTAAATGATATTAAAATGATTTTTTGCCTGTGGATTTGTTTTCTTGCTAAGGTTTGTATGATGAAGAGAAAATTGAATAAAACATGGAATGAAAGTTCCTAGAAATTAGGATATAAACATTTGTATCAAAAAGAGAACTAAAGAAAGACTTAGTCTAGTTCACTATATACCTTCTTCATGTGAATCTAAAACAAAGCACATTCATATGCATGTGAGTTGATTACATTCTGAATAGCACTAACGGAGAAGTTATGAACCATATTATTATGAGCAACTGTGTATGAGTGGTGTACTGTGACTTCTTCATTGTTATTGCTGTTGTTGTTATGTCCCGTTGAGTCTCTTGTGACTCATAGAGACCCTATGCACAACAACCCTAACCCTGCTGCATCCTGTGCTGACATGATTGTCCCTGACACACTTACCCTCATTACCCAGTCACGGAATCAATCCATCTCATCACAGATTTTCCTCTCTTGTGATGTTTCTCTGCCCTTCTAAGCATGATGACCCTCTCCAAGAACTGGTCCCTCCTTGCAACATATCCAAAGTATGTCAGACAAGGCCTCAGAATCCTTGCCTTTAAGGAGTAACCTGGTTTTGACCCGTTCTTGGATAAACCTGT